GGGGGCGGCTGGGAGGGAGCAACCTTCTCACTACTCACTTGGAGATACAAGCAGGAGTGGGGAGGGGTCCGGCCCAGAGGCCACAGGCTTCCCATGTGAGGGTGGGGGGCATTCCCTGTGGATGGATGGGGAGCCCAGAGAGACTCAGACTGGGGTGCGCTTCCAGTCCCCATTGGCTACCGCTAGTGTGTGTCACCGAGCAGATTCCTACTCCGAGCAGAGGGGCACCGCCCCCTAGCATCTCCCTTGGAGAACTGCTGGACACAGGGGTCCCACAGCCCTCGCTGGGCGGGGTTTCCTCATCAGTCCTGGTGCTGATTGGTCAGCGGCGGGCCCAGGGCGGGGCGGGAAGACTTGGGGGGAGGTGGGTGGAGTGGGGTTGTCGCTCAGGTCTGTGGGCAAGGTCAGGCCAGCTCGGAGCAATGCTGCCACCTCCCGCAGGGTGCACCCTGATTTCACCAGGGCACCTGGCCGCTCCTCGGTCAGCCCCAGGGCCCTGCCCCCCAGGCCCCTCACCTCTCCTCCGCGAGCTCGAAGCAGTCGATCTGGGTGAACACATCTTCGATTTCCTCCTTCAGCTTCTGTGGGTGGAGGGTGGGGGTGGCCCGGCCCAGAGCTTAGTCAGTGGGGAGGCTGGGAAAGTGGGGTTTCATCCACTCCCTACCCCCAGAGGCGACGTCTACGCCTGGCCTGTCTCCTCGGCCTCTGCCTGGTCCCCGCCCAAGAGACCCCTCTCCGGAGAGACCATGGCTCCCACTACTTCCCTCCCCCTGGGCCTAAGAGCCAAGCCACCCCCAACGGCTCCTGACTGGGTGCACAGTGCCTCAGTGTGGGTTCAACCCCCCCCACCCCCCAACCATGACCCCCCACCCCGGCTTGGGATTCTGCCTCAGCAGAGCTCTCCCCATGCCCCCTCTGTGTCTGGCCCTCCCCTCCCTTCCCTGGGCAGCAGCTCCAGCCAAGCCTGCCCACACACCCTTCTCCACCCACCTGCCGGCTTTCTGAAGCTCAGCATGGAGTCTCCCCTTCCCCAGCCTACTCACACTCCTCCCATGGCGCCCAACTTCCCCCTCAGCCAGGAGGCACCAGCACTTGCTCTAAGGTGGGGCCTAGCTTCCCTGGGCTCCCCACCCCCAGCCCTCAGCTATTTCCAGAGAAGACTGAGGCTCAGGGAGTGGAGCTGACTGGCTCAGGTCTGACCCCTCTCACACGCAGCTGGTTTGACCAGCCTCCTCCTCCTCCTCCCAATGATGTCCACTGGGCAGACAGGCAGTGGGTGGAGCAGCCAGCTCCCTGACCCCTGTTCTGGGGACCTGTGCTGGGACTCAGGGCCAGCAAATAGCCGGGTGTCTATGTCTCAGCTCAGTCAGCTCCCGCCGAGCAACCTCTGCTGGGTCACTGCCCAAGCAAG